GCGCGGACTTTTTCGCTCCCACCGTTAAGTTCTTAGGCGATATTAATAGGAAACCGCCCGGAGATCGAGCGAGGGGCCATCCTATCGCGAGATGATTTGTGATTCTCTCTATCGTAGTTGAAGGTATGTTTGGTTTCTTTTTCATCTTTTGGTTGTCTGAAGCTGATGATATTCTTACTCACCTTCTTCCTTATTGGCTTGTAAATGAAGTGAAAGATCGCAACAGGATTCGTTAGTATTGCGTAATGTTATTGTAATATTCGCATAATTCCTGCGGAAGGCATTAACGAGAATCATTGATATTAATTCCGATTTAAATCGACATTATTTGGCAATAGAGAAGTCTGTGTTGATTGTGTATCAACACAATTAGATAATATTTAAGATAATATTTAATATGAAAGTTTTAATATTCTCCCTGATCTGAATTTCAAGCAACCTGCGCGGACTTTTTCTATTTGAAGTTTCGTTTGATTTCTTTTTCATCTTTCGTTGTTGAGGAGGGATAAGGGAATGGTTTGATCACAAGTAAGACGCGACTTTTATCGGTACGTAAATGAGGTGAAAAATCGTGACAAGATTGTGTACACAGGAGTTTCATTCGAACGGTCTTTTAAAGACGGATGGATGTGGAAGTTGGTTTTGTAGGTGCTCAGAGTTTGTTAGGGGTGCTATTAGTCTTTTCTGGGTAAAAGATTTGGAGAGAATTCCTTTTTAGGTCGTGTTCTTTTTGTTAATACATTTATTCAACGTTATTAAGAAACTCAAAACATGAAATTATTTATGTAATAATATTACTATTATGCCATTATATCTGAAAACGTCATTTTTAATACATTATGTGATGACCACAAATAATTTATCATCAGTTCTCCATCATTCCCTTATCAACATCCTTTTACTAAATTGTTTAAGAAGTAATTTTATTCAAAATTTCTTCGAACTTTCATGAAATATTTAAAAATACTGTAAATAAAGTAGTTCATCTTATTTGATGATAATATTTCAAACGATGTGAATAATTCTATAAGGCGTATTAAAGATTGACCCTTTTAAAGTGTAATTTATCGTATTTAAAGAAATTTAGAATCCCGTATTCAATCCTTCGCGAGCCTTTTTGCTCCCCCTATTAAGCACTTGAGTGGCATCAATAGAGCCATTCAAGATGATGCTCCGGCATTAAGAGATCACTCATGGTTATATCGAGAATGTATTTCGTAAATCAATCATATCGACGTGCTTCAGAGAAACTGGAAAGAACATATTTGAAAATCAATTAACATATACGACTAATAAACAAAATTATGAAAGTTACGAAAAAGAAAAAGAAATAAATTTTTATGTATTTAAATAAATCTACCTTTATGTCAATTTAACTTCTTTCTTTCGGATTTTGCTATTGATTAAATATCTTAGAAATTTTCATTATTATTAAAAACACTTAAATTTAGGAAATGCATTAGGAAAGTTTTTTAGTAATGAAAACTACATATTATACAAAATTCATAGATAATCGTTAGACAATGAGAATCCAACATGAAAATAACACATATTCTTTATAATTGATGTTTAGCTGTACAACACGAACGAGGTCCGAGGAAGCCAAAACAACCTCAACAACAATCACCGATCGCACCTCCTTTACACAATGATCGATTAAGGACTGGTCTTGGTTCCCCTTATGTTCTTTTACACCAAAGGTGTGTATGAAGTTCTTATTAAAATCTGTACTTATATCCGTACACATTAGTATTAGATAGTAAATATTGTATCTTAATACGCTACGTTATTGTTCTGTTTAAACATAATGTCTGACTCATCAATGGCTCATACTACTTAAATTGACGAGGCTTATGAAGGAATAATTCAATTTCTCCTTTCGATGTTGAAGAACTATGAACAACCCAGAGTTATAAAAGATATACCATATCATCTTCTACACATTCTTAAGCCGATTTTAAAATCGTGCCAGAAATATCATACAGGCTATCAAAGATGTGTTATTATTCATCCTATACTTTATACATATCATTAATTATTCTATACTTCATTGCTAAAAGTATTTTCATCGTTTAAAATATAATTGAGAAAAATATCATCTATGATTTTAATCTAAATATTACTGCAAAACCTTACTCTTAGCAATTAGAGCTTGATAACTCCAATAAAAGGACGCTAAGGATAATGTGTGCAGAAAGTTCAGGTGCGACCAGAGGTTCTCGCCTTATCCACGGCCAGTGGCACTTGTGCAGAAACCACCGGAGGACTCTTCGTCCCCGGCACCATTGGCTCTACCGCATTCTCCTTCGACCACGACCCTCTACTCAGCACCCCCGAGCGTCGCTCTGACACCGCAGCCACCCCTTCTTCAGATACTAATGTCCGCGGAACAGTGTCAGGTAAGTAATTCAGCTCAATTTGCTCGAGTCTGGTGTTTCCCCTTTGCAAACTTTATAACCGTCAATCCGACAAATCCTGCCGGTTTCACAGTCTGGACTGAAACTGAGCGATCGTGGACCCTGTGTTGACGAGATCCTCGTTCCTTGTTTTGGATTTAGTTTCGTGAAATTAACTTTCCGGTAACAGACAGGGAGAAGTTTGGAAAAATGTTTTAAATGTCTATATGATAATTTTGTAGAATACGAATGTAGTGTAGATTCATGCTATACAAATACGACTGAAAAACTAAACTAAATAGAGATTTTAGCTTTCGTGATATTACAATGAGTTACTGAGGATATCTTTTTTATTTTCGCATACTATATGCATTCTCTACATTTTTAAATTCTATTACAGGATTTTTGTTTAGAGCTATGGCTCAATGTTGTTGCAATACTGATACAATTTTTGGGGATTAAAGTATTAATAGAAGAAATTGATAATTTTTTTGAAAGGATAGAGAAATTTGTGTTGATTTTTAATAATATAATATTAAATATGTGAAATATCTAGATTATTAAAGAGCTTAAAAATAGCTTGCAAATTCTTAATAATAATTTATAACATCATAAAGTTATGTTATTCTTTAGACAAAGTATTTTAGTTTTAAAATATTATTTTTATATGCGTATTATTTGTTTAAATATATTTTCATTTTTATTTATAAGGAACTCGTATGGAATGCACCATTGCAATCGGAAACAGAATATTCTTTGGAACAAACAGAAGCTAGTCATAATTCCACTGGGACATTAATAAATCCCAATCCTACGCGAGAACTATTACAGGTAACTATACCAAAAATTTTACGATAATTATTCTTATAAAATATAAAATTTTCAAAATAAAATTAATGACAAATTGATTTGTATATATATGAAACGGTTCTTTTCTAGTTTTATATAATTTTATTAAAGATTTTGAAGTTGAAAATATATACCTAATATTAGAAAGCAATTTAATATATTTTATTATTTTACATTTCTAAATATTAAAAATATGTGATTAATAAAACAGATGAAACAAAAATTTCACTCGGAGAACGAAGCTTATTAATATGTTTCAGGAAACAACTGCACGTTTACTATTTATGGCAGTAAGATGGGTTTGTTGCTTACCACTATTCCAATCCCTTTCGAAGAACGATCAATTATTGTTACTCGAAGGCTCGTGGACACAACTTTTTCTCCTTCATCTAGCACAGTGGTCAATATCGTGGAATATTACTGGCTTACTAGAGGATGAACAAGTACGAGCAAGATTGCCAGACGAAGCTACAACGAATCAACAATTAATTACTATTCAGGTAATAATTTAACTTATATAAAATTGTATTAATTGTTGCATAGAATATGAAATATTTGGTAATTTCATCATAAGAAAATGAATAAATAATTAACATTTTCTTTCATATTTTGGACAAATATGAACGAGAATATTTTTATAATTTTAAGTAATAAAGAATAATAGTGAAAATTAAAGAAAAAGAAATTATTTACGATTTTATATATGCCTGTATTTCAGGACACGATATGCCGTTTTAGACAACTCTCACCAGATATGAGCGAATGGGGATGTATGAAAGCGGTAGCACTGTTTACTCCAGGTAATAAGAAATTTTGGCTTTTAATTTCAAAGAAGTTGATAAATATATGTCGGAGTCAGGTTGTCATTTTGGGGCGTTCGATGAACCTTTACTTACTTTACCGTCGCGAATGTAGCCAATCTTTATCAGTACGAATGTGGACACTACCAGAGGCTACGAGTAATGGTAATAGGATGGTCGAGATGGTGGTAACAACGAATTCAGGTTCGATAACGAATCCACGGTCCACGGGAGGACTAGTATCAACGTGCTACTCGATTCGGATAACTTCCCGATAACTCAATCGGCAATTCGTCCAACGACTCACTAACCAACTAACTAACTCTAACTCTAACTCTAACTCTAACTCTAACTCTAACTCTAACTCTAACTCTAACTCTAACTCTAACTCTAACTCTAACTCTAACTCTAACTCTAACTCTAACTCTAACTCTAACTCTAACTCTAACTCTAACTCTAACTCTAACTCTAACTCTAACTCTAACTCTAACTCTAACTCTAACTCTAACTCTAACTCTAACTCTAACTCTAACTCTAACTCTAACTCTAACTCTAACTCTAACTCTAACTCTAACTCTAACTCTAACTCTAACTCTAACTCTAACTCTAACTCTAACTCTAACTCTAACTCTAACTCTAACTCTAACTCTAACTCTAACTCTAACTCTAACTCTAACTCTAACTCTAACTCTAACTCTAACTCTAACTCTAACTCTAACTCTAACTCTAACTCTAACTCTAACTCTAACTCTAACTCTAACTCTAACTCTAACTCTAACTCTAACTCTAACTCTAACTCTAACTCTAACTCTAACTCTAACTCTAACTCTAACTCTAACTCTAACTCTAACTCTAACTCTAACTCTAACTCTAACTCTAACTCTAACTCTAACTCTAACTCTAACTCTAACTCTAACTCTAACTCTAACTCTAACTCTAACTCTAACTCTCTCAATCCAAAAGAGGCTGCCCTTATATACTCCTGTCCCCGCTTCTCGGGTTAATCTTTGTTTTAAGGAGAGCCATATAATCATTTCATACCTCTGTCAGGTGCATGTCCCTCCGGTGGCCGTGGCTAAGTCACTTCGAGACCAAACCCATCGTTATAAAGTCAGATTGGAACATTAAGACTATTTCTTATTTTTATTACTTAAGGGCGGCTATAGTAAAAGTCTCGATTAGTGTATTGGGGTTTTTCTCAACATTCCGGACGGGAAATCCCGCTGTCTTTCCCGCTCCGACATATATTTCAAACAAATTTCGTAATTTGAATTTATGAAAATATTTTTACTTAAATAATTGAAATCAAGGAAATACTTAAAACTCCAATCTTTCTCTTCTCTTTCCATTAAGCGATATAAAGTAACGAAATATTTTACATTTCGATCTCGATTACCGTGTGTTCCTAAACTGCAGATTAAACAGATATTTAAAATCCTGTTTCGATATCGATATGTTCTCCTTCGCAGAAACGGAGGGTCTCCACGCCAGCGAGTCGATCAAAATGTTACAAGATCAGGCTCAATGCATTCTAGGGGATTACACGAAATCTCGTTATCAACGACAACCAGGTAGAAGCGGGACATTAATGCACGTTGTCGGACGTTTGACGTCCATCTTCCCAAAATTGGTCGAACGTTTGTTTTTTCACGAAACCATAGGCGAAATTCCGATTTCCCGTTTGTTGGTTGATATGTATCAAATGAAAGGACACACAAACTGAGATTTCCCGATAAATGATGATATAATCGTGTGAAAAATCCCTGTGGCTTTCCAAAACTCTGTCGATTCTTTAAGCCAGATACCGTAGAGATCGGGACAAGTTTTTGAAACCTGTAGCTAAAGACTGCAAAATTATACGAAAGATCACTGGTTTTGATGAAATGGTTATGATCCATGAACATATTTGATTAAACAATACCAAGGAACTATTCAGTTAGCTTTACGTATTACGATTTTATATAATTTTGCGTTACAGTGCAATACATTGAATATATTATTTATAATATATTGAGTATATTAAATTTTGTTCGATAATGAATTTCGTTTTTATGATCAATAGGATTTGTTGCTTCTAGATAAAAAGACACGAGAGTCATAAACTGTAAAAATCATTTGATGAAGTAGAATTTTGTGTAAGTACTACTTGTAAAACATTTGTAAAGAACGATTTCATTGTGTTTTATGTTCTTATAATATCTTTGCGATAATACTACCGGGTACTACAAAGACACATTCTTCGTAATGCTATACTTCGTTCAATTTAATATATGCACTGCGAAAAAAATGTATATTTATTTTAAATATTATCTTTCTTTTCAGTTTCTATTAATTTGACAAAACATTTCATATTTCTAATTACAATCGCTTGACTCAGTCAGAAGAAAATTTAATCAAATACATAAAAAATTGTTTAACATCAAAATAAATTTAATAATGTTTGCAGGTAGTATAGAACAAGAACTAAAAATACGTAATTATGGGAACATGAAACACTTTCATATGAAATAAACCATATTAAATTTAATGTTACACCAACAATTTCGTAATTCGTTATAAAAAAAATACGCTAAGAAAAATCTTATTCGTGGATGTAAAAATTATATAAGAATGATAAGCTTCCATAAGAAATAGATATCCTATTCATTTGTAAATAATTGAATAACCGAGAGTTAACAATGTAACATTAATTATTTACTATTTACCTATAGTCAATTATACATACATATATTTTGCTTTCAATTTTTGTAATATATATTTATATTATTTATATGATATATTTTTTAAACATACATATATATGTCGGAGTCAGGTTGTCATTTTGGGGTGTTCGATGAACCTTTACTTACTTTACTTACCCGTCGTCATAAAGCCCGGTTGGAACATTAAAAGTTATTTTCTTATTTTTATTGCTAAAACATACAAATCTTGATTATGGTATTGGGGTTTTTCCCAGCATTCCCGACGGCAATCCCGCTGTCCTTTCCTCTCCGACATACATATAGTATATTATTTATCCATATATCACATATCAATATACAATAATTGTTTTTTTTCAAAAAATTTGTAGATAATAATATCTAAGTGTTATTAATTGTAATTTAATACAGTTGCATCTTATATTATATATAATATTTGATAGGTGGTAATATACAATCGTTTTAAAGTTGTATGTGAGTTTACTTCATCGTATTTGTTATTAAATTGTATTTAGTACTCGCTAATATTAACATACATATTTGTTATAGAAAGTATTTGGTTTTATAGAATAGACACTATGTTTTATACATATATGTAATGTATATTAGCATACAAATGATTTATATGGACCCGTGGAAATGACGGATAACTGAAACGAAATTATAAAAAAAAATACTTAATATTAATAATTGTTTTCCTACTCCATTCCTTACCTATATAAGAACTTAATTTTACTATTCATTAATACTTCATTTAATAAATTAATCGTTACTTATGTACTTGTTACAACATATTTAAGAATATTATAAATACAAAACAATTTTTTCTACAAATTGTTAAATCGCTGCTGTGACAAAAATATAAAAATTTTAGCCTTGTTTCGTCCAAGCAAATAATTATACTAATGATTGTTTCAAATAAATAAGAAATTATATTATTTAATAATTTTTGTTTCTTTATTTTATGTACATTTCAACAAAATCTAATTAACATTGCATAATATTTGTTTTTTATTGCATTACATAGAAAATTAAATTATACTGTTGTTCGGAATTTGGAGTGACCGCCTGGTAATCACCGCGACACGCTTTATGTGAATCAGATACGATCCTCGGGCAGGACGATCGTCAAGGGTCTACGCTACCCTAGTGCGGACCCATCATAAACAGCCCACGGAAAACCCCCATAAAGCACGTCCTGTCAGGAAGACAAGAAACGCGGGTTTTCCCCAAGTACGACGAACCTCCATTAGGGGTCAGCCCATCCTCAAACATACGTCTTTACCTTATGATCAGTTCGGAACAAACTTCAGACACACGCACCACGAATTTTCCTCTAGGACTGCAACATCACCAAGAGTCACTCTTGCACCAGTGTTGTAGTCAGTGTCTTATAAGTGATAAGTGAATATTAATTTATAAGTGAAGTTTATATAAATTTAAAATATACGTATCAAAAACAAAATCTTCAAACAATAAGAATCACTCTCATTAAACACATAGTTTATGCTTTACAACGTGGACGCACCCATAGCTATATTATTTCAAAAACATGGCTGTATATTCTAACCTTATTTTTTAAGTGTATATAAATATTAGTTTCGACGTAAAATAAAAAGAGACAATGGGACACAGTAAAATATTTGCCAAGAATCGCGCATTAGGATATGTCAGTAATCACATTCCTCTTATAACAAGATATATTACAAGGCGAAAAGAAAATCTTATATCAACATGTGTTGGTGATACGTTTCTTACGTACAGTTGTACACATTTCACGCTTCTTAGCATATCAAAAACGCATCCAGGTGAAATTACATGTCTCGCGGGAGACCCTTATCACACTTTTACAGCATGTGGAAAAGAAATATACGCTTGGCGGAGAGGAACAGAGCTAAGACATACTTATAAAGGACATAACTACACAGTGCATATTCTGTTACCTTTTGGTCCTAATTTAATATCTGTTGATGAGAACAACAATGTTAAACTGTGGGATATTAGAACAGAAGAACTAATAACAGAACTTGATTTCAGTAAAAACCACTTCAACATTACAACAATAATACATCCTAACACCTATATAAACAAAATATTATTTGGAAGTGAACAAGGTCAATTGCAGTTATGGAATTTGAGAGTTGTAAAATTAATTTATACGTTTAAAGGCTGGAATACACCAGTAACTGCACTTGAACAGGCACCTGCAATAGACGTTGCAGCAATAGGTTTAAGAAACGGGAGAATTATATTACATAATTTGAAGCTTGATGAAACACTTTTTGAATTAGTTCAAGATTGGGGTTGTGTAATATCCATTAGTTTCCGAACAGATGAGCATCCAATAATGGCCACAGGAAGTTTAGACGGTCACATTGTATTTTGGAACTTAGAGCAACGTAAAGTTGAAAGCCAACTCCTTAAAGCTCATTCTAGGGGTGTTACAGGATTAAAATATTTACCCAATGAACCATTGTTAGTATCTTCTTCTTCTGACAATTCTATAAAGTTATGGATATTTGACTTAGCTGATGGAGCTGGAAGACTTTTAAGAATTAGAGAAGGTCATGCAGAACCTCCTAATATTGTTCGTTTTTATGGAAATGATGGCAACTATATATTAACAGCTGGAAATGATTCTTCTTTGAGGATGTTTTCTACAATTACGGAAATGTTGAATAAAAGCTTTGGAAAAGCATCATTCAACAGAAAAGCTGCAAGGAAAAGAGGAAGACTTATTGAAGATCCTTTATTAATGCCACCGATTACTAATTTTGCTATAGAATTAACAAGAGAAAAAGAATGGGATAACATTGCAGCAACACATTCGGGTTTGGCTACAGTCAGTACATGGTCTTCTAATAAGGCAAAAATGGGAGAACACAAATTAATCCTAGAAAACTTTAAAAGCAATCGTAACATTATTGCAACTTGTGTATGTATAACAAAATGTGGAGATTTTGTTATTATTGGATATAATAGTGGCCATGTAGAAAGATTTAATATACAATCAGGAATTCACAGAGCTAGCTATGGTATTGATAAAGGAGCACATCAAGGTCCTGTGAAAGGTGTAATGGTAGATCCTTTAAATCAAACTGTAATCACTGCCGGAAGTGATGCATTTATAAAGTTTTGGAGATTTAAACCAAAAACAGGTAAAAGAAATAACTATATTTCATGATACACATGTGAAAATATAATTAATTGCATATTATAATTTTAAGGAGGTTCTGAATCAGTAACTAAAATGATGTTGGATGAACCAGTTGAATGGTTACGATATCATAATGATAGTTCCCTTATAGCCATAGCATTGCAAGATTTTACTATTATATTACTAGATCTTGACACTAAAAGAATTGTCCGACGTTTTAAAGGACATAAAGCGCGATTAACAGACGCATGTTTTAACCCTGACTCTAGATGGCTAGTAACAGCATCTATGGATTGTACAATTCGCATATGGGATATTCCTTCCTCTAATTTAATAGACATTTTTCAGGTATATATAATATATGTTAGTAAAACTTAATTATTGATCTAATTTAGAAATATTAACTGAATATAATGTTTTAGGTACCAGAAGCATGCACGTCATTAAGTTTTTCACCTACTGGTGAATTTCTTGCTACAGCACATGTATGTAACTTAGGTATATATTTATGGTCAAATCGTACCTTGTATTCCCACATTTCTTTGAAAGGAGTAAACAAAAACGATCCGATTCCAACGATTGGTCTACCTGGCTCAATGATAGAAGATACTGTTACTAATGAAGATGAACTTACTGAACCAGAATTGGATTATGTTTCTCCAGCACAACTTCAGGATAATCTTATTACAATGTCCGGTTTAGCTCACTCGAGGTGGCAGAATCTATTAAATATTGATATCATAAGAAAAAAGAACAAACCGAAAAAAGCGCCAGAGGTACCGGAAAGTGCGCCTTTCTTTCTGCCAACGATTCCATCCTTGGAATTGAAATTTGACCTTTCGAGTGTTAAAGATGCCGAAGTCAATAAGAAATTGATTATTCATCCTGAGTTACAAAATCTCACTTTGTTTGCGAAATCCTTACTGTCTATGGAAGATCCACAACTTGAAGAAGTTATTGAAAAATTCAAAAATATGAGTCCTAGTTCTATCGATTTCGAAATTCAATCATTTTCAGCGGATGAAAAAACATCAAATACTTTATTACTTCACTTTATGAAAATAATATATCATATGATGGAAAAGAGGATAAATTTTGAATTAGCACAAGCTTACCTAGCCGTATTTTTGAAATACCACGGAACAACAATAGCAAAAGACGAAACGTTAAGAAATTATTTAGACACATTACACGATATACAATTAAAGTCTTGGTTTATATTAAGAACTAAATTCTTTTATAATCTAAGTGTTGTACAAGCTTTGAAGAAGATGTAATTATTTTATTGTAATAAAAATGACGTGTTATTTTTTATGTAATTTTTAAATGTAAAATTTAAATGTTTTTGCAATATGACCATCACAAAACATATTTTTAAGGTACATTGATCGAATAATTATAGATATTTGAAAAATAATTTATTGCGACATTTTACAAATTATTCCTATACAGTAAACCACAGTTAAGTAAAGTTAAATAGAAAAGATAGAAAAGATTAATCACAAGTATAATTTGTTTGTGTATATAAATATAACAATTACAAAAATAATCTTACAATCATTGACATATTTTGATACTAAAAAATATTTTATGTAGATACAAGTAAAAGTTATTTATATATATATATACATACATTAAAGTTTGCAATGAACGACGAGAATTTATTCCCTATAAGCAAGAAAGCTATGTAACTGTTCCACTGTTGTTGTTTCTAATCCTAAATCTCCTATATAAATTTCAAAACATGTAACTATTCTATAAAGACTGCGTTTTGCTGCAGCACGTAAAGAATGAAAGATTTGTTTAATAAATTTATCATCTCCATATTGTTTCTTTGTCATAATATTTGATTTTTGTAATTTATCAAGAGCTTGCTTCAATGCAAGTAAAGTATTGATTATAAGTGGTAGATCTTTTTGAGCAATTCCATAAGAATCTTCACTTAATGATAATACAGCTAAAGATGAAATTGCATCCGCAGCCCAGATTATCGTCTGTCCTTTAAATAAAATATGACACACTTTACCGCCCTCTATTTCACCAAAAACATATGAAATAAGTGGTTTAGAAAGTAAGTATGCGAGAAAGTTGTTCCATCTTGTTTTTACGAATTTTTGAATAAACAGTTCATTGTCAACATCTTTTTTTATATTACTTTGTTCTGTACAGATTTGTACTTCTTCTTTTATTAAACTGCGCATACGATACATATATTGTTTCTGAAATGCACTAATATCTGTCATTGTTGAACTTGGAACACCAGAAGATAGTTTTGGTTCCTGAGGTTTAATGCATGCTGTGCTGAGATCATCAGAAAATTTTTTGATGAGACCAGTACATCTTTCTATAACACAGTTCCAATTGTAAGGATGACCTCCAGGTTGACTGAGTGTGAATAATACACCTCTTCTTGCTTTATCCTTTTGTGCTATTGTAATTAAATCTAAATAGCCTAAATGTTGCATTATTGGCACTTTGTCTGTAGATAATGCGTCAGGAAGTGTCACTCCAGATTCAGCAGTATTAAATACATTACTTCGTTTGAATTCAAAAGGAACCCATTCTGTCAAATATATTTCAAATAGTAAATACATACTGTTAATTGTTAATACAAACATCAGTTGATACAACCATAATTGAAAAATCAATGACAGATTCAGCAAGCTAGGAATGCTACTCAATGGTTCACTTTCTAATTGTAAGGATGACAAAAATAATATTGTGGAACAGCAATAAGGACCCAAGAAATAATAACCAATTAAATAATATAGAGTTGGCCATATGCATTCAGCCATTAATGATGGAAGCAGGGAGCTGATTCCTGCTTTAAATCGAAAAAGCTTTGATGAAGATATGATAGGAAATTTTAAATATTTCATATGGAAGATACTAATCTTCAAGAAAAAATATAATCCACTCCAAAATCCACTTAAGAATAAAAAGTAATGTTCTTCCATTAAACACATTCCATAAATTATGTTACATTCTGTCATTAAAAAACCATATTTGCCTCCTTTGATTGATAAATGCAACCAAACAAGGAGACCACCAATGATAATGTGCAGGATACCCATCAAAATATTTTGATATGTGAATATTCCAAAAAATTTAATAAACCTACTTTTTGAGTAGGGTGGAATGTTAGAGTAACTTTTGCTACAAATAACTCCTTGAAAAAATGTAACGGTAGCAAGAACACAGAAATAACTCCACATTCGAAAAGAGGTTATCGCTGTCCATGTGTTTTGAATCCATGACATATAATCTGTATTTAAATTTGTAATTAAAAGTAAGCAAGTCACAAGTAAAAATTGTACCATTATACTGGAGATTATAGCTAAGAACATTCTCTGCATTAGCAATTCTCTGCATCCTTTTTTATTCATCTGTATCATTTTATTTACTTGTAACGGTTAACCTCCAGTTTCTTGATAAAACCGTACAAATTGAGCAACTCAAAATTCTTGCCAACAAACTTAACGTAGTAGTTAAACTTTTATATTTTTAATAATAATAACATTTACGTGAATATTTTTCACGTTCTCAACTATTTAACTTTTCAAATATGTATTTTTATCAAGGAATAAAGATGATATACATAAATTCCTCGTTTCAAAAAGCCGGTATAATTATGAATTTTCCATTGAATTTGAGCGCGCCATCATGGCTGTCCTCATGAAAGAACATAAAGGATGATATTTATCACTATGATTAAATTTGAATTATCTTCTTGAACGAAACATATTTATCGAATCATTATCAACAGGATATTTAACATTAAAAGTTTTATGTATTGGCTTTACTAAAAGAAATATTTGGAATTGATTTATATCTATAAAGTTTCCTTATTTTCCAAATCAATTTTTGATAAATTTATTAATATTTTTAAATAGTATTTTTTGTATTATTTTAAAAATAAAGTTTGTTATTTATAATAATTATTATACTATATTTCACATACTAAATTATATATCTTAAAAAGAGACTACTAAAAATACAATCGACTTTCAATAAAATTCTAAATAAATCTTCATCAAATAATAAATTATTGAAGTTATAATATATTATTTCAACAACTTGATGAGTTTAAGAAAGCAGACTTCTTAATTTATGTAAATACTATATGAATATAAAAACACGCCATAATGAACAATACAGTTTCTTTCATGTATTTGTAATAATTAGTAATTTATAATATAATGTGAATTATGTAATATGTTTCAAATAAAAGCTATAAAAGCTACAAATAAATGTTATGATATTAATACATTAGAAAGCAAGAATTGAAGCATGTACTTTGTACTTGTAATAATGTAATTTATAATGTAACTATGTATATGATATAGTATCACTACCAATTAATCAATTCCACGTTGTATTTGTATATGTTACTATTTACAATTAATAAATAAGAGAAGAAATATATTACTTAAAAATGTTTAACATAATTCTTTAATAGAGTACCTACATTGTAATGTTATCCAAATATCAGAATATTTAATAATGATCCATGAATGAATGATGTGCAAGCACTTAGTACTTTCAGTTTCCTTTCTACTTTGTACTCTATGATTTTAGTGAAAAAATGTAAGTCAAGTGCTTGATAAGTTCTCGAACCCGCAGGGGAACTATTTATTATTCAGCGAAGGTTGCCTTACTAGTAACATCTTTAATTAACCCGCATGTCATTTTCAATAGGCCTATTCATATAGTATAAACAAAATGGATTAGAATCTCGTGAGAGTTAATTTCTATTATTTTATGGATATTACAAGAGTCTGCCGTCATGTGGAAGTGCCATAAATGTGGGAAACCAGTATATTTCGGTTAGTTTCAATCTTCGCATATATTAAAAAGGCGTAATAATTTTGACAAGTACCGTTTCCTGTCATTATAATGAGTTGATTAATTTTTTGTCTGTATAACTGTCATGTTACTCGTATATATTTTATTAAAAATATTATTTTATTATTACTTTTCTGCATTTTAACCAAGCTCTTTGTTATTATTAAGAAATTATTTTTTAAATTAAAAGATTAATCGTTTATTGTCGTTTGTAATATTTTGATATTTCAAACGTTTAAAATAACGGTTTTAATATTTTAAATATGAAAAAAAATACTACAGTTGAAAATAAAAATTTATTTATGTATTTTATATACTAATTTAAACAAATATTTTAATATGCCAATTTATAAGTTAATAATTTATTATTTATAAAAACAAAATGCATGTATTAAATAAAACTTAAGAAAATATATTTATTAAAGGATTAGTAAAATCTCAATTGATTATAAAATTATATGTGCTTTGTGTAATACTGTAAAATTTTACAAATAAAGTGAGTATTTTGTACAAATAGATCATAAATATATTTGTTTATTTTGTACAAAATATTTTGAAAAACTGTGACTTTAGCTGAACGGAAGCAATCATTGGGATATGACTGGCATCCAGAATGTTTAAGATGCGAAGAATGTGGGAAACGCTTGAATCCAGGCCAGCATGCAGAGGTACAACATTGTATATTTTATAAAATTGTTAATTAAATATTGTAATATTATTAGTCATATTTAAATATTTAATCTATCTAATTTTGTGCCACCACTTTAAATATTTCATTTTTAATATATTACTGTTAACTTTTACTTAATAATCGTACAACAAAATTTATATTTTCTTTTTAAAAACTATTATGTAGCATAAAGGTGTACCATATTGTCATGTACCATGTTACGGAGCTCTTTTTGGGCCACAATTATTTGGTCATGGAACAAGAGTTGAATCACATACAAGTTTTGGGAAAAAAGAAGCTCGGCCATCATTACCCAGGTATGTAGTTCAAAACAATGTGTTTTATTTAATATCATACTATTGTGGTATCGTAAAAGAAAAGAGTTTGATTAGAGATCGGTTGAAAATAGAAAAAACCGTGTCATTGTCCTTCTGTGGTTTGTTTACATTGAAGAGCGCCTATGTGACCAAAGTCACCTAGTTCTTGCAAAACATGAGCGTGCAGAAATACGAGAAAAACAATAAACAACGCTAGAGCAGAAGGACGGTTTCGGGTTCAAGGAGCGATGACCGAGATTGGGTATGCGAGTCGAAAAGCGAGTGTGTTGCGAGAGTCAGAGTTGATCGAGACGTCGAAGAGTATTGTTGAGAGAGTTGATCGAGACATCAAAGAGTAGAGTTGAGAGAGCTAATCGAGTCGTCGAAGAGTAGAGTCGTTAGAGTTGATCGAGTTGTCAGTGTTGCAGAGTTGTTAGAGTTCCTAGTGAGAGAGAGAGAGAGAGAGAGAGAAAGAGAGAGAGAGAGAGTGTTAGATTCGTTGTGACGAGAGTTGCCAAATAACTGTAAGGTTATTTGAGATAGATACGAGTATCGCATTTAGTTTCAGTTAAACAAACATCGTTTTCTGTCCAATTAATACCTGTATATTCAATTCATTATTAATAAATTGTAAGTAATCGGGAAAAAATTAATATTTTAATTTTCCACGACACCACACTATTAAACATATTATATTATTACATTAAGTTTTATATTGTTATAATTTTTCATACTTAGATCACACTTGGAATCAAAGTTGAAGGTTTTCAACCAGTATTATGAAGGCAAAAGTGGTGGAATAAGAAGCCGTGAGGTATTTATCTTATATTTATGCTTAAGAAAATATAGATCAACATATAATTAATATTATTTTTTAACAGGTTAATGGAAGATTGATACTGGAAGGTGCACTTCGTATTTATTGGGGTGTCAGAGGAGTGATTCATTTAAAAGAAGATGATGATCAACGCACAGTAGTTACAGCTCGTAATAGAAATTCATGTAGACGTAGTGTTTCTGATGTGTGTATATATTTTTATATGAAAAGGGATGCTTAAAATATTTTATATGTTCGTATATCTTGTAAATTCTGCCAATAGAGTATAGAAGATGAAGAAAAAGAGGAAGATTGTGTAAAAGAAACTTGTGAGCAAGACGCAGAAACTGAAACAAAGTCTGTACCAACCTCACCTGATCATCTTAAGAGCCTCACTTTACCAATGAAACTAGACGTTAAGAACATGGAGTGGGATGAAATAGATGAGCTTCTTCAGGTAATATATAGGTTATTAAAATTTCTGATTATTAAATATTTTTCAGTTTATTTATTTTTATCTGATTTTTAATTATCCAGGTTGAACGTAAAATCGAAGATGGAAAGAAATTATACCAAACGATGCCCGAAAATCTACCTTCGATTAGTTCGCAAACCACTTCCGACCCACTGCCTCTTTCCTCTCAATCCAGTTTTGATAGATCTGATTCTCGCGAAAATTCAGAAGCAAATAGTCCAAATCATCAAAGCAACCGTGGTAATGATAGTAGCGTAACTAGTACACCAACGCACAGTATAGGTAGTTCTTCCAGTACCGATACGCCTATTTACCATGGCACACCAAATCGAAATGAAACGCTTCGAAGGGTAGAATACTTTGACAACTTAGAGAAAAATATGTCCGGTAATAGATCTATTAGCACTGATGACAGTTGGATAGAAAAAGGCTTAAATCGGTCGATGTCCGGACCTGATTGCCTCCAAAGACATCGAACTGATAGCGATACAGATTCTGTAAATTCTCTACAATTTAGAGAAGATGATAACATGACAATGTCGACCGACAGTGGACTAGAGGTATTTAACAATTATAGTCTTGAATTTATTATTCTCCCTGTATATGCATATCTGTAATACGTTCTAGCTGGATGGCGTAGTTTTACGACGAAAACAAGGATCCACCGCAATTAGACGTCGCCCGGGTGGTCGACGACAATCACGTAGTCGACTGCGGCGTCGTTGTTCAATTAACGGACATTTTTATAATCGTGAAACCAGTTTTTTTACACCTCCGCATGGATCTCAAATGTCCGTTTGGATTACAAGTTTAGTAAATACTCAGGAAGTTATTAACCTTATGTTAGACAAATATAAAGTTGATGCTAAACCAGATAATTTTGCGTTGTTCGTCGTCCGCGATAATGGCGGTGAGTTAAATTATTTTAGGAAACACGTATCTACTCTTAATCACTATTTGAGAAAGATAATTTTCTTTTCTATAGAGCAAAGAAGATTAAGAGATGACGAATATCCGCTGGAGGTTCGTGTAGTATTAGGTCCGCACGAAAATGTCGCGCGACTTTTTTTAGTAGACAAATTGTCGACTCCGGAAATTAGTTCTGACGTTGCGCAATTTCTTAATCTCTCTTTGGTAGAGTGTCACGGTATATTGCAACGTTATTATTACGAAGAGGAGCGTCAGATTCTGCTTTTAAAAGAAAAGTATGTCTTTATAAATATGTACATAATTCTTAATTTTGATCATTTTATTCGAATATTTTAGACTAGTTTTATTCATCTAAAGAGTTATTTTTTAAAAAAAATACTGTCTTATATTTCTGTATTAATATTCATCTTGAAATCTTTCAAAATAAATGAATTTTCTATTATTTAAATTAGGAAACAAAGAGTTAATTAAAGTGGAATATTTTGAAATTATATTTTCTTTTTTGTTTGAATTTTCAGATATAAGGAGATGCGGCGAAGAATACGACAAAGAATGGAAGAGCTAAAGGTTCGACTATAGTTAGTACGTATTCATAATAAACATTTAAATATCATATTATTTTTCTATTAATTTTCACTCGAAGATATATATATACATATATATATAATTCCTTCTTTTTTTATGTAAATTATTTGTCATAAAATGTGTTATCGTAATTGTCCTCAAACATTCAAACGTATTAGAACCACTTACTGTCGTCATTTCTTCCAGCTCTCTATATTTATTTATAACTTCAAAAAATTACTTCTGGGAAAGTTCGATTTTCTGCTTTGTTTTGGAGAAGAAAATCGAAATAGATCAATCAAAATATTTTGTTGAAATATGCAATAAAAATTAATTTATATAATGATAACAAAGTTAAGCTTTTAATCTTTGATTTAATATTATACTTGTCTTTTAATGAATGAATGAATTAATTAAATTAATTAATTAAAGAAGTAGTTTATAGAAGATCAAACTTTTATATGAATTTGTTTTTTGAAACTGTTATCAATAAATGTCGTGAGTTATAAAATAGCACCACGACCATGGAAGCAAATCTTGCACGATTTATTACGGAATGACTCACTATCGGAAAAGTGATTTACGTTTGAATGTGTCGAGCGATAACGTACTAACATTTTCTAGATTAACGTCTTATGGTTACATTATTCAATTGTACTCATTACTTCTGCATATTTGTTGCATTTATCTGTAGTCATTAATGCGCAGCTACTATTGAGACATTCAGTGCAATTTAACTAGAAATTCATGTATCAAATTAAGTGATATATACATGTATTGTTTAAGTCTCGACTGTGCATCAAACGATAATTACGCAGTCTCGCGAACCATTCTTTAACTCGATATCTTTTAAATTGTTCGCTATAAGCTAATTGTTGTATGTATAGCGTTTCATTTGATTTTTTAACATTAAAAATGAACACTGTCATAATTTATTAAGGGCGATCGAGTATTGTATCTGTGTAATAGATAGACACCGATGTCAAGTCAATGATTGATACAAGAGATGAACATTTTATGAAAGGGAAAGAGAAAAGATATTGTTCGCAGTTTAGATTGTACGATTGTTAGAATCTCATGCAAGGCTGTCCAACTTCTTACCTCGTGAAGTTTTTCTAACTTTTCTGTTCACGTAGGTGCCAAAAGAAAAACAGAAATAATGAAGATAAAAAGAAAGAGGAAAATGAAAGAAATTATTATATATTAAACAATAAATGGAAATAGAATTTTAACGAAGGAATTGTTGAATGTAAAATGGAAATGTTAGAGAAAGCAGAACGTTTTAAAAGCTATATGTAGATGTATATATCGTCTAGATGAAAATTACTATAAACGATTGTACCTTGAACTGCAGTTTTAGTTGGACAGCTCCGAAACCCATAGATAATTGTTATTAACCAATAGCAATTTTCGACACGTATCACTGCCGTAATTGCTAGATCATGAATAAATATTTTATCTGTAGAATATAGTACGAAATATCGAAGAAAGGATTGCATTGAAGGTAATTTGGCTTTTAGAATTTGTTTAAGACGTATTTGAATCGATACAATCAAATTATGAGTAGCTTCCTTTGAATGGTATTTCAGGGAACCAAGTTCTTATGGTTAGTAATTTCGTAACATTATTGTCGGTGATGATTATAGTTAAAATTTAAGAATTTTAATTCGATAGATTTTGAAAAATCCTTTCTGCATAGCAGAAAAAAATCGTAGTGTCATTACATTTTAGATTTAAATTAAATTGATAGTTATATTTACTTCCGCGAGATCGTTAGTTTTAGCTTTGAGGAATAATTAGATTTCCTAGTTTGTTACAGCACTTTCAATATAACGGTGTAATATGTGAAATGTGTTTTAGTCGAAATAAAAGAAAAAATCTGTTTGTTTTTATAATATAAAAATTATGATTTTTGTATTATGGAGTTTTTTTACATCAAAAAATATTTCGTCAAGATAGAGGGAACTTCAAATTCTATCGTGATGGGATTATGAGATTCCAAATTTTATTATACAGTTTAAAAAGTTTCGAAACAAATATTTTACGTGTCTCTTATCCACATTGAGAATCCCAATTTAGGTGCAAAAATCATTTATTAGAATTAATTACTAATTCGCTTGCCTTTATATCGGGAAAAGATAAAAAAAAAATAGATTTTGATCTACGAAAGTAGATATTAGAAATGCATATCACATACTACACCTGCTGACGTTAGGATTTCATATTAAATTTTAAATTTACATAAATTGATTGAATAGATTCATATTTAAATAATTCTTCTCATTGAAAGCATCAAGTAAAACATTTTATAAGAGATAACACTTAAAATAGCTTAACTTTGTTAAATAATTTTGGTGCGGAAGGATCTTCCAAAATTTTTGTTATATACAAATTTTCGCGAATTTCTAAAAATCGTGCACATTGCAATAAAACCATGACATTTAGTTAGCATTTTTCAGCATTCCGATTTCTACTCAAGAAAATATCATACTGATCGTATTTTTTGAAGAATTTTTAGAGATCCCTTTCCAACGGATGCTTCGAAACGAGTGAAATATATAGTTGCTAAATGAAAGTAAAAAAAATTATTAGTTCCTAACAACAGAAGAAATTCTCATAAAAATTATACATTATTAACAATTTTAACGAAACATTGAATTAAACAAAGAGCACGTACGAAGTAAGTTTTAAATAAATTAAAATATAACGAGAGCAGAATGCCCTTTGTAACAGAGAGAAATAACGAAAAAGTTTCATTTAGCAATTATTTTGTGTGACGTTTACTTTGAAGCATTCTGTATATCTATGTATTTCTAGCAGTTGTTATGTATTTGAAAGATTTCTAACTTCTGTGTGTAGACGTGGTCCAGAGAACTGGAGGTATTTGCGCACAGTTACGATTGTACAATCACATGCTTAATATTGCACAGTATAACTGGTTTCTAGTGGAAAAAAAGTTTACAGCGAAGAATATACATACAATGGTATAAATAAATGTTCGCCGTTGTTTATGACAATAGATATCGATCATATAATCATAATTTTAAGCTAGTCACACTTCATAAATAGTCATACATATTATACATAATGTATGTTACGAATGCGTTCGCGATTCGAGTGTTTAGACAGATAAATGTCATTATCGTGAACGAGAATTCTTGAAATTATCCAATTTGTTAACGATGTCTGTTTCATTATAGGAAAAAAAGAAAGGATAAAATATTGGGTGAACTGTATTAATTTGTCAGTTAATTAAAGAAAATTTAATTATTTCTATAAACTGAGGTGTAATTTATATTTATAGTTTTATCGTTGTATTTAATTTTTTGATATAATATTTAGCTGGAAATATTTGTTTATACAAGTTTTAATATTTTAAACGATGATTAAAAATATCATCATTTTCGTGTTTTATAGAAAATCGATTCTTTCCTTCTAATGGAAAATTACTCGCATAAATATTACTTTAATTACTTCATAAGCTCTTCTTATTCCAGTAGATTATTTCACGCAAACAAACTTTAGTTCGGTCCAATAGCAGTGGAAACAATCTAGCATTATCAAATTATGCAGTTTACCTTGTCTTTCATTTCCGTCCATTGGTTGTTTGCCGATCAAACATTGTACAGGGTGATTCTACTGTAACTACTGTCACCTTGGTGTTTTTAAAACTATGCAAGTCCACGAAACGTTTGTTCATTAATACCAAAAACGTCTCTATGTAGGATATCTACGATAAGGAAAAGATGAAAAGTACAAGTAGAAAGAAAAAAATTGAATCATCTTCAACTTTTATATTTCATTAAACATCCGATCTATATTTTGTTAAACATTGAATATCGTCTCTTTTAAAAATGAGACAGAGTTATGATTCGTTTTTCCAAGAAAAGCAGATAGGAATAGGTGAAGAAGCGGATTCTTTGGTAGAATATGTAGTGTCTGACCATAAGAACGCTGCAACTACTTGCTCCGCTGTCAGACTAATATCTTAAGTGCTAGATACATACTTGTATTCGTTTAGCAGGTGTTTCAATACTATTTCATGGATAGAAACATATCATCGCATTAAAAAAGCAGAATAAAATGTAAAAATACTGATACTCATATCGTGATAATAGTTTTATTAATAATATTTTTTCGCTCGGTTAGCGTACTGCATAATTACTCGAGGTAATTGCAGTCGGCCGGACTAATAGCAGCTATCATAATTGTCTTCGAGTTACCTCCAAGCGAATCCTTTAATAACCACGTACACTATCTCGATAAGGTATGAAGACATTACGCTTATAAGAGGAAGACGCGTCGCCTGTGGAACTAACTTCCGAGAGCGTCGATATCACAGAACCAAATGTTACCAGTGATCTATTAATGTGCGCACCTTCTTTTAGTCGTTGGCCTGTCGCAGCCTTTGCATTCGCATGTTTGCTTCCAGTCAAGTCGACAAGATACACCTTCGAAACGGTCTCCGACGACATATTGCTTTCGGATAGTCCAGCTTGCACGAACGTCATCGTAAAAATCGCGCGATTCTTGTTGCTCGCGTCGTTTATGTTTGTGCTTACCGCAGTTCTGTGCGTATTACCTCTCACCATGCATTCCTGAATATCGGAATAGTCGTACACGAGGTGGTTTGACAGGTCTTGGACATAAGGTCCTCTTTTAGGATGTTCCCGCACTCGGAAAGAATGAGACTGTGACTGATCCGCCTCAGTAGATCTGTCACTCTTTCATTGTGTATTTCTAGGAATGATAATTCGGTTCTATAAGACGTCCCGCTCTCTTTAGCACCTGTCATTCTGGCAAACAGCGTGTTAGACCTGCTGTCTTTGTATTGAAAATCCGTGCCTTTTTGCCATCCATTTGTACTATCATCTTTGCATTCATCGCTAACTCCACTTTGTTAAAAGGACGAAGTCCCACGGCTATCTTTACTAAAGCCATTGCTATAAGAAACGTATAGATTTTGCCAACGGATATTAGTGTAGCATGGTGGTATTTTGTCACTTTCACGTTTTCTCTCGTGGTATCAATCCTTGAGCTTCCGGTGTGCCCATCATGGTAAAGGTCTTTCCAGACTCTGCCTGACCGTAGGCATTGTAGCCCTCGAAGGTACTTTCCATAACGTCCGTACCAAGATCATTGAAAACCTCTTTCTGAGATGCATAATTGTCATCGTTTGCGTCGCAGGGCCAATAAGAGTGATGAAATGTGAAGTCTTTGTATTGAAAATTCGTGTTTTTTTGCCATCCATTTGTACAATCGTTTTTTGCATTCATCGCTAACTCCATTTTGTTAAAGGAACAAACTCCCACGGCTATCTTTACTAAAGCTATTGCTATAAGAAACGTATAGATTCTGTCAAGGACGTTTGCACGCCGTGGTGGTATTTTGTCACTTTCACGTTTTCTCTCGTGGTATCAATCCTTGAGCTTCCGGTGTGCCCATCATGGTAAAGGTCTTTCCAGACTCTGCCTGACCGTAGGCATTGTAGCCCTCGAAGGTACTTTCCATAACGTCCGTACCAAGATCATTGAAAACCTCTTTCTGAGATGCATAGTTGTCATCGTCTGCGTCGCAGAGCCAATACGAGTGATGAAATGTGAAGTTTTTGTATTGAAAATCCGCGTTTTTTGCCATTCATTTGTACAATCATCTTTGCATTCATCGCTAACTCCATTTTGTTAAAGGAACAAACTCCCACGGCTATCTTTACTAAAGCTATTGCTATAAGAAACGTATAGATTCTGTCAAAGACGTTTGCGCGCCGTGGTGATATTTTGTCACTTTCACGTTTTCTCTCGTGGTATCAATCCTGAGCTTCCGGTGTGTCCATCATGGTAAAGGTCTTTCCAGACTCTGCCTGACCGTAGGCATTGTAGCCCTCGAAGGTACTTTCCATAACGTCCGTACCAAGATCATTGAAAACCTCTTTCTGAGATGCATAGTTGTCATCGTCTGCGTCGCAGAGCCAATACGAGTGATGAAATGTGAAGTTTTTGTATTGAAAATCCGCGTTTTTTGCCATTCATTTGTACAATCATCTTTGCATTCATCGCTAACTCCATTTTGTTAAAGGAACGAACTCCCACGGCTATCTTTACTAAAGCCATTGCTATAAGAAACGTATAGATTTTGTCGAGGAAAGTTAGTGTATTTTGTCACTTTCACGTTTTCTCAACTCGTGTTACACGAACATAAAGTATTTCGCGGTGCTGCGTAGACAAGACATTGTTGACGAGTGTCACCGTACTACAGGTGTTGTCGTCGTCGTCGTCGATCCTCGCACGTAATGAACATCATCCTCAACACGGTCTCCACAGGCGGGCAACTCGATAATAGTTTTACCCATAGAAAAATAGTGCAATTCTTACTAATCCTCTACAAATCCATTTATGTCTGGAAGTTACGTAAAATTCTAGTTACAATGAGTTAGCTAAGCTTTCCTTTATCTTGCATAGTTTCAGAAACATTAAAAATTGGTAATTTAAAGATAATAGTAATTGACAATTAACTGTATATAGAACAAGCAATAACATAGTCATTTGCGTAAATTAAAATGCTTTTACATTAATATTGTCCTAATGTTCAAGATTAATGTAAATGGATTTTTTACATGATCAAACATGATTTGTACAGTTTCCGGATTCATCTCTCTATAACCTCTCTGTCTAAAACACGTTGTTGTGTGAACATTTGACATGACACTCGAATTGCATCGCGGTATCGGTTTTTGTCAAATCTTGAAATAGATTTTAGCCAGAATAAAGAGAAAGTAAACAAAAAAATACAAAATGTAAAAAAAAGCGTGAAAAAAAGGAAAACGAAAACCAACATGGACTGGGCCATACCGATTCTGTTCGCAACGAGGCAGTACATGCTTTGATTTTTATTGTTTTACAATGAAAAGTGGAAAAGAAGAAAAACGTATTCGAAGCGCAGGAATAGCGTAACAGTAACGAATCTCGAATTTTTTTCCTGGCAACTATAACGATGTATTTTAATCGATTGTAAGGCAGCTTCTGCTAGATATTATATTAAAATGAAGTTGTAATAGAGATATTATGTAAGAGCGCGTCATGATCTGTATCGCACCTGTCTCTTGGTTTTCCATTCTCGAATGATATTTAATAGATGTTAGGCGAAATTCTATATGCGAATGCGTGAGATGCGTTTCGACGAATGTAAAGTGAGAAAGAAACTGGCGAGATAGAAAAGTAGGGACAAGGGAAAGAATAAAAAGTGTGTGTACAATAAAAGCGATGGCGTTTGTTCAGAGATTAAATAGATTTAAAATACTCCGTACCATGACATATTGAAGTGAATATCGAAAGAGCACAGTCCAAAATGCGAAGTATATTAAATGTGAAATTGTAAAATATATAGAATGTATCTGAAATTTGTATGAAATCGTTGAGAAAGTAATAAAGTGATTGCTTCTTTTGCATTGATTTTTCTTATTTTGTATGGCTATTTCTTTTCTACGTGTTAGGACATTTTATAGGACATCTACGTTATAGGACATTTCTTAAAGAAGCTAAAAATGTTTTAGCGTTTTATAAAATTGAGATTGACATACTTGAGTTTATTTATTTCAAGTTGATGATTTACAATCGTTTACTTTTATATATTTTATATTTTTAAACTTCACGCCGAATTTTTTTCAAATATAGCTCCGGTTATGGATAGGTTTTCAAGTATTTCGTTCATGAATTCATTTCAATGGATTTATAAATACAATGCATTTTTTAGATTTTATATTATCTTCCGTCTCCCCTAATTTATTGTAATATTTTTAAAGAAAGACCTTGAAATTTAATTTATAATTTCATTATATTCAGCATAATTTATACAAAGAGTCTACCTGTTTTGTAATAATTAACGATCTTTCTTCTTTTTTTATTTGCTTCATCAACGCTGAAAAAATAAAATTATACAGATCTTTAACGAATTTATTTATCGAAACCAATACCTACCTTACATATAT